TTACCATAGCTCGTAACTTTTTTTCCAGCTTCTTTTCGTTGAAGTATGTTATATAGATAAATTTAAAGGGTGTCGAGAAAATGACTTTAGCGAAGTTTCATTGAAATCGATACATCCATTTAGGCGCTACAGTCTATAGCAACGTAGGTTTTTCTGTTGTTTTTTTTTCTCCTCTATTAACTTATCAAATTCTTATATTTAACTTCAAAAGTTATATTTAGCATTTTTTTCATTACTTTGAATAATGTGAAATGATTAACTTTTTAAAATAAACCATATTTAAGGTACTTTAGAGGAAGACGTATATGAACATTGGGCATTTAAGCCCTGTAAAGTGACATCATGGGGATAAAAGACCTAATTGATATTACAGACCACTTAATAATACAATGATACACTGAGTTTAATCAAAATCGTTAGAGCCGTTTTTGAGAAAATTGTGAAAATGTGTTTCAGCATTGATATAAAGTGGCACTTCCGGTTAGCCGATTTTAAGGAAAAAGTTGCCGTCACATCTAAGGCATATATCTATCTTAAATATGTAATATCAGTTTCGTAGAACTTTTCATTTTTGAGCTAGACTGCTAACATACAAACACACAGACACACAGACCATTTTTCGGGACTTGGTCATTTCGACTCAGGGTACCTCAAAACGTCTATTTCCGTTGAAAACTCAGATTCAAAAATTTTCTGGATCGCAATACTTACACTTACTATATATTACATATATACGTAAGTGAAAGTAAAAAAGTAATTATTTTTTTCAATACAGTTATAATTAAACTATCTATAAAATAATAATAATAACAGATGATTTTTTAAATACCTAAAGCCTCGTGTGCCCCTATGTCATAATTTGAAGTTTTTGTGTTATATATAAAATAATAAAAATATACTATCTGAATCATCACATTTATAGGACTAATAATTGAGTGTCTGCTAGCTACTTTGGGATGTTATCAAATAGCTAGCAGACATTCAATTATTAGTCTTATAAATGTGATGCTCCAGATAGTATATTTTTATTATTTTATATATAACACAAAAACTTCAAATTATGACAAAGAAGCACACGAGGCTTTAGGTAATTATAGCAAATTATGTAACAACATTACTTTAACATATTTTGCAACATGCATTCTTTTTTAATTAACTCTTTTCTAGCCATTAATTGCTATATAAGTATGGGAATAAAGTTTAGAAGATGGGAATAATATTCCTGAAAAGTCAACTTGACATGAATTTTAACAAATAAAGAAATTGTTTTATACATGGAAGTTTTTATTGCAAAAAACAAAGAAAATTGAACAATTTTTCAACAAAAATGAAGAAAATGAAAATATCCAAATACCGTGTTCTTGTGATACAGCTGTTGGATGGAAGATCTCCCAGGATTAGGCGGTTCCTTTCATTGCTCATATCGAGAGTCTTTGATGAGGAACTATTGAACTAACTGCAGTTCCTGGCAATGAAACTGCGTTCATTTTTGAACCGCTCCTCTCATCAATGATTATCTTCTATCAATTGGACAGATTACCTTAAAAATTCGTTAGCAATCTGACAGTGATTAGGGCCAAGTAATGCATAATGCTCTTAAGATCCAATTTTGGTCTCCATGACACAACTTCTCTTTGTGCTTTTTTCATGCGTCAAGAGTTGTTATCTCGTTTGGAAGAGAAACTTGTATTGTAATTCCATTTAGATATTATTTTCTATATCTTGCTGAGGAACTTAGCTTATCCGTATCCTCCATATCTCAAACTTCAGAACTGGATTGTCTTCTCTTCCTGCATGATACTTTTTAATTAAATTATATTACGTAATTTTAATAAATATTTCCCTTAAGGGCTAATGGATGCACTCCATTAGTGAGGTTTAACGATCCTCCGGTCTCTTGTGTTTAGTACACAGTGCACTTACACATAACAGAACAGTAGACTATTCACAAACATTGATACTAAGGACAAATATATCACACACCCAATTTTATAAATACATGGCATCCAATTTCATCAAAGATCATTCATTGCTAAGATGATGCTTGTAAAAGATGCAGCAGCCTTTGACAAGATTCAGTTCTATGAAGATCTCCAGGGGACAGTCGATGATGCTAGGAACAAAGGCAGAATGATAATGATAAGCGTGGATCTTAGAGCTAGGGCTGGAAATGATAAAGTGAATGCACATGGAGTGATGAGTCTGTGGAGAGGAGAAAGTGTGCTCAATAGTAACGGCCCAAAAACTCATAGAATTCTCCATAGAAAATAACATGCTCATAGAAAACTCTTGGTTTAATCATAAAACGAGCCACAAGATCACCTTTGAGAGTAGAGAAGAACGAACCATGAGGTAGAGCATCATTGATTATTTTATAATCGACCGGGACCTAAGAAGGCTCTTCACTGACATAAAGGTCATAAGGGGGCAGAACTAAGCACAGACCATAAACTATTTATAGCGGATACAAAAATAATCTAACCAAGAAAGAGATTCAACAAATCATATGATAGGGTTGATGTTAGCAAGCTGAAAATAGAAAATAAACAAGAAGAATATCAGTCACTGCCCGAAAGTCGCCTCCAAGAAGTAAACGGGGAGAGTACGCTGGATAACCTCTGGAATGAAATTGAGAACTGCATACTAAATACAGCAAGTGAAGTATGTGGACAACAAAAAATAAGGCCCCATACCAAGAAAACAAGATAGTGTAACGATAATGTCAAAAGAAGTGTCAAGCTCAAGAAGTCCTAGAAAACCTACAATAGAACTAAATTACCTATTCATTGGGATGAATATGTCAGAAACCGAAATGAGACTAAAAGAATAATCAAATTAGCTAAAACAAGAACTTGGGAGAAGTTTGATCAAGAGCTTGAACAAAACTATAGAGATAATATTAGGAAGATCAGGCATATTACAAAAGCCTTGAAGGGTAAGAGGTCAAAACCGGTCAGGAACGTTAAAGACATGCATGGGAAGAGTTGGTGACCGAAGAAAAGGAAGTGCTGGAATTCAGGAGGCAGTTCTTCTAGAGAAAATTTAGGATGGAAGAATGTCTTCATCATAACTAAAGAGATTGCAGAAGGAGAGGTAGATTGGTTGACACTTATCCTAAAGATATGGACAATGCGATTGGGGAAGACAAGTTGGAGTTGGCAGTCAAAAAACTCCAGCTAGGAAAAGCTCCAGAATTTATAAAATATGGAGGCAATGAAATTATTAAATGCCTTCAAATGCTGTTCCAGAAGATTTGGAACCTTAAGTTGCTGCCACAAGAATGGGAAAATAACATCACAATCACAATTCACAAGAAAGTTAACCAAATCGAATGTGATAACTATAGGAAGATATACCTATTCTCAGTAGTGTACAAAATATACACTCGGATATTAGAGCAGCGACTGCGGGGTTTTGAGGAACAAGATATTGAAGAAGAGCAAGCGGCTTTCAGACATGGAAGACAGACCCAAGACCACATTTTTTCTTTGAGAATGATAGTAGATAAAGCGTGGGACCAGGAAAAGGCAGTCTACTAGGCATTCCTGGATCTGAGGGCAGCTTTTGACTCAGTCCAGAGGCAGGAGATATGGGACACACTAATAACAAAAAGGGTGTCAGCAAACTTGGTGAGTGCTATTAAATCGGTGTACCAAGACCCGAAGGACATTGTAAAGCTTGATGGTCAGACATTGCGGCCTTTCCAGTTTTATAAGGGAGTAAAGCAGGGAGACAGCCTAAGATGAGATATGGACAGTGTGCAAAAGGAGATACCCAAGAGCAGTAGTAGGTTTTTGGAACCTAACTCCAGTACTGGATCAATCGATGATATATGATATTGTACTGATAGCTGAGTATGAAGGGGCTCTTCAGGCATCCATGGATGAATGGAATGAGGAACTGAAGATAAGAGGTTTTAAAAGAAACTCTAACAAAAGCAAAATCATGTTTGTGGGAAGAAAAAACACAGAGCCTAGGATTTTGTGTAATGGTGAACCCCTAGAACTTAAGAATGCCTATATGTATCTAGGGACCATAATAATTAAAGATGGTAAAATAGACCAGGTCATAAATCGAGTGAAGGAGGCCAATGGATTGTACCATCAAATTTTAGCTCCAAAACTATAATCTTATTTGCACTCTCTTTTGGACCAATAAAGCTTATTACATGTTAATGAGTTTAAAACTGTCTAATACGGGTACACTTACCCTAATGTTGTTTGATCTGACCTAGCCATTTCAGAGAACATTTTTAAGGCTAAAATACAACAATTGCTATCTATTAGAAAATGACAATGAATCTGGTTAACTTTGATTTTGAAAATAACACCATTAATGAGTATTTGTCCCCAAGAAATAATTATTTTTTTAACGTTTAGTTCCAAGATAGTTACTTATAAGTTTAAATTAATTATATAGTTAAAAATAGAATGCCTCACATCCAATCTCATTTTTAAAATCATAGTTATATACAATTCGGGTTCAATATAGTTTTGTGAAATACTTTCTTCGATGGAGACTTATCAATGGACTTAAGGGTATTCCTTTATACATCTATTGAATCAATAATGACACAGTGGTTCCATTGTGTTTCGGGATTGATGGATCTCCTAGATATAACATCACTATAATCTTAATGTTGATATTTCTCAATTTAATTTACATATTTATAATCAGTTCACTTTTATATATTAATTTCTGTTATGAAATCCAAAAATTCATTAAGTGTGCATTTCCTTATCTTTAATCTTTCATGTGTTCCTGGAATGTTACCTTCCACTGGTTCCCAGCAGGTTGTTTTTGCATTCAATGTAAATCCCTGCCCATCATTGTTGGATTCGATTGTTTGATTGATTTCATCATTAGAATTGGTGCTAAGTTTTGGAACTTGCACTATCTACTGTAGAAATAGTAAAATTTTGCAATCACTGATAGTTATGATTGTACAAAACTAAGTTTTTCAACTATATTAATAGAAATATATATTCAATACAGCGTATCTTAATGAAAGGAAAAACTGAAATTTAAAAAAACATTATAGGTAATACAGATTTATTTAATACAAAATATAGTGTATAATGTATAAAAACAAATTGTGATAGCCAATTTAACAAAATGTGTACTGAAATTATATGGACATTGCTTTATAAAATTAATGATCATAACAAACTTTCTTCACTGGAAAAATATAGCCTTAATAATAATCTTGGCTCCGTTTTTATAATAATTAACAAATACAAAAGGATACTTTACGATATCAAAATGGGAATGATTTTTATCTTCCATATTATTTTACAAATATGTTACACAGAATCCATTCAAACGAAATATGAATTTAGTCCATTTTGATGAACAATTTAGGATGATTTTAAAATATAAACAACGACTGGATAGGATAAATAATGTAGCCACAAATTACAAGTTTTATTAGCAATACACAATGCATTACTAGTTTATATATTTTATCTGCAAATATATATATATAAAATTGATATGTACAATTAAATAAATTATGAGTAAACCATATATACATGTGCATATATATGATGACTATGGTCTGTACAAGTGCTCGTTTACTAGAGTACTCCATTAAAGCAAATATTTGTATTACAAATGTTTCAAGGGTACAACAAAAGTTTTGAACAAATTGCATTGATAGCATAGGTCTTTGATCTAACAATATGTTTCCGATGCAGTCTTTTTGTACCAAATTCCGAAATAATTCATATTTCAGTATTTCAAGTAACATTTGGCTGGTTTTCTGTTTCTAGCCGAAATGTTTCACCTTCACAACTTGTTGCTTCTTGTGGAATAGATTCTTCAGGTCCCGTTACTACAAGAGTAGTTTGTGTATGCTGTGGTGGTGGCTGCTGCTGGTCTTCAAGAGCCATTTCAGAAAAAATGTTAATAAGATTGTTAATACCAATCAGGTACCTAAAATTAAAAAAGAATATATCTTTATTACAATGAAATATTTTTTTTATGAATAACTAAAATTAGTAACAATTTTCACAAACAATAACTATTGACAAGGTTCAAATTTTGTTTATTTTTGAATTAATTAACTATAAGTTTTGACTGGTTTTGTGGATGCATAAGACTGGATTTTTTTCCTCTAACAATCAATTTATTTAGGAAATCAAATATAAACTACTTCTGTTAGTATCAAAGAATTTCAAGTAGATAAATATCAATCATTATTAGTTTAATATTATTAATAAATGCTATTTATAAATCGATATCTGTTGTGAAAAAAAAATAAAATACTGCCAACAATTTAATAGATAGTCAAATAAATACTTAATTATATTAATATAAATAATTTTAGTTTAGACATTACCCGTCTTCGTGGTTTCCAACAACCCAGGTGGATGCATGGTCAATGGTCACCTTTGGTGGAAGGACCAACGTCTTGGCAAAATCAATCAGCCAAACACTTGCGGCTTTCTCGTCATGGACAAACAGCAATGAGCTTCCAATCATCTGTAGTAACATAATTTGTTCCAATACAATTGTGGTAAATCTAAAGTATTAGAATAAACTAATCATCACAATCTTAACTAATAAACATTTCATTATAGCTGCTAGAAGATTTATGGCAGAAGTAAAAGAAGTCAAGAGAAGAAAAAAAAAAATGTCATTGTTACTCGATTTATACTTATTTATATATTACTTAATTAACAACTATTTAACCTTAAAGGAAGGCTAGTTATCAGCCAAATGTGTAATATACGTCTATGTATAATAACTATATTTAGAAATTTCTGTTTTATCTATATTTACCTCATGTGTGTGGAAAAAATGGGAAACTTCTAATGTTGCTTTGATAGCTTTTAATCTTTGAATATACTTTGGCTGAAATAAAAAAAAAAAAATTAACATATTAGCTAGATCTTCAATATAAATGTAAAAATACAAACCTAATAAAATATGGGGGATAGATCAATGATAAAATGATGACTATGGGCATTTTCTCTTAATAAACGGTGATATATCAATAACAAATGTTAATAACAATAAAAAAAGAATAAAATAAAGATAATAATGTTTTGGCTGAGTTACTAGTTCTATTGAACTGAATGCGAAAAAATCTTAAATTATATAATACACACCACAGCATGGGGGAATCCAGCAGTGAAATCCCGGAAAGCTTCTTTAATTTGAGCTTGAGTTCGAGTTGTTTTGAAGTCCTTGCTAGACCTCCCGTCACTTTTTTTGATTCCTTCTATTCTGAAGCCAAGCGTAGCAGTGGAGGAGATTGTTTCCCGCCATACCATATACCTAACAAACAGATTTCATGAATCATGAAAGAAAAATAATAAATTAAATTTAACATTTTTTATAAATCAATTTTATTTCATACAAATGAATTTTCAAACAACAATGAATTCCACTGGAAATTTGATATAAAATAGATTCAGAAAGATTTAGAAGTTTTGGTCAGAATTTGTAAATGTTTCTATTTTAATATATTTGTGCAATGCCTCCTTTAGCAAAAAGGAGCTCAATGTTATTAATAACATTATTGAAAAAAAAATGCATTATATTTTTATCAACTTAAAGGTTATCCAAGTTGAATATGATACGAAAAATGATTCTGAGAGTTAAGGGTAAGAAGTTGAGATAACTAATGCAAATTACTTTATTATTATTTTTTTTATTTTTAATAATTTATGAGCGAGGAGAGATTAAAAAAATACATAAAATATACTGTTTAGTGAAATACCCAAACATTAAATCTCAAAACTTGTTTATTTTCAGATCTGATTTACTTAAATGTTTGATGTATAATAGATAATCGATATTACAACAGAGTTCATGTTCAAACCACAGTTTTTTTCTTAAAATTCTTTACCTTGTTCACGACTCTTCACTGACTACTAAAATATCCAATGATGTCAGAAATTGTTTCACAGTTTCAGAAAAAGGTGTAGTTAGAAGTAGGATAGGGCCATAATAAAAAAATCATCATATACCTGGGCTTTGTAACACCCTTCAGCCTGTGTTCCTCTTCTGTTGGGGCATTGTAGTCAATTTGTATCATCTTTTCATACATATCCTGTTAACATAAATTAATCTACTTTGAGATTTTCAAAGAATATTGAAATATATATTTTCATAAATATAATTTTTCTAATATAAGATTTAAATAAAATTAATTGGAAAAAGAAAATTTCAGAATGGTCTTGATAATCTGAACAAGAAAGAAAAAAAGTTAAAGTTGACAGATGAGAAATGGAATGTAATTGGCTCTGTTTCTCAGTAAATATTACTTGAATTGCTTCGCGTGGTAGTGTCGAATAGTGTATTGTGGTGTTCCTAAACAGGAAACATTAAAATTAGGCGGTCATACAGAAGTCAGAAGTCTTTATAAGTGGTTTATGGGAAAGAGATCACGATGATGTTCAATTTCCAGAGATATATTAGCTAATTTTTCATTAATAAGGATGAAAACGCAGATTTTAATGCCAGTAATTTTGGCTTGACAATTTCAAAAATAGGTATGGAATAATTTTCATTATAGACAAGCCATAGAAACACCGTAAAGGCATTTAACACTTGCTTGGAGAGTGGACGTATGGACTCAACGTTGATTACTGAAGCCTAGTAGTTTTAAAGGAATTCGTGAGATCCGGTGTTTTCTTTAGCGACAAAATCAGAGACTCAATGTACGTTAAATAATCATTTTCAGAAATTATATTTTTCTTTTGATTCGCAATGTATTTATATTTAAGTGATAATATATATATTTTCGATATCTTGTGTAATTTTTACATAATTTTAAATTCAACCTTTAATAATCCAAACATTTTGCTAATCCGAACAGGTCATACAATCTACATATTTGGATTATTTAGACCGTCCCGCATTACTTCCTTGTCTTAAATTTAATTCATTTCCTTCTGGAGTCGTGGAATAGAAGATATATTCTTTGTTTTCATACTAAAACTATATTTTTCAAAGTGACAGCATAGTTCAATGAGAATGATAAAAATGTTCTAGTTTAGACATATTGACAAATAAATGTTTTATAATAAAACCATGCAATCAGTTGAATAGTTTATTATTATTTATTTCCGTAGAGGAATGGATATAAGTATCCATAGATGTAAATTGTGGATTTATCTGCATACCTATACAACACAAAATTTGACTAAATACAGAAACAATGAAAATGAAAATTATATTTCAAATAAAATTACTGGTTTTAATATAATGTTGTGTACAATAGTGTTTCTTAAAAATCATTATTTAACTTATCAACAAATTTGTAAAGAATTAATTTTACTATAAAATAATGAAAAAGAATAGTCATGCGGATTAAACAGGCTAGATGTAATATTTAATGTAAATATAAATTTCTGTAATAAATATCGGGCATTGAAAATATAGATTTAGTAATGTTTACCAAAATTAGTTTCCAAGATAGCAGTGAAATCAATTAATATGGTACCCATTCCCACAAAAATAATGTTTGTATTGTGATATAAACATACATATTATCTTGGTTATTGGAATAACCCAATGAATCACAAGGCTGTGCAGTCTATTTATTCTGTAATCCTATCTGATGAACAAAAGCCACATTGTCTAGATATAAAACTTCCTTGCTTTTTCATTTTATATCCAACCAAATAATAATTTTTATGTATATAACATGCAATAAAATGAAATCATTCACAACTTCTATGATATATTTATTCAAAGATCATATTGAAAATACGTAATTGGACTGAAAAATCTTGGTAAACCACAAAATATATAAATGGGAATTTTACATGCTTGCTCTAGCAGATTCAAAGAGGCCTGAACCCTACCCAAAAATTAAAAAATAATTTTTTTTATTAGTCCATTTTTTTCTATGATGATCTGAACTAAAAACACAAAACAACAACAATATCTTATCTTTTCATAAATTATAATACATGTACTTCAGCTAGTAAATGTAAGCATGCCTCAAGGAAAAATATAAAAAGTTTACCCTTAAAGCAGTATCATTCTGGTAATTAATGTTATAATTAAAAAAAAAAAAAGTGAACATCTTCAAAATCAAATATTGAATCAGCCACACTTGCGTCGGCCTTTTCATTTAGTATAACTGCTTTTGTATAAATTAATAAGCAATTAAAAAATAAAACAAAAACAGAAGGAACGTGAGTATCTGTTGACAGTTAAAAATCAATACTTATACTTTCCGCATATATTTAATTTGTGCTCAAAAAACAATAGTGAACCAAATCGGCAACTAACACATTGAAGTATACACTAGCTAAGGTAATTATTCCCACTGAGATGCTCCTATTAGTGTATTTTTTTAAAATACCACATTTCAGAAAATATAAAAGTAAATTATTCTGTTTTAGAAGGATAATTTAAATTTATTCAGATCCAATTACTGTAAGGCCATACTTCTTCTAGATAAAGTTTTTTATTGCTGGGATGAAGTTAAAAGCTATAGTCAAAATACTAGTTCCATAAATCATCCAATCATTTAAGCTCATTTATTGATTTTTTTCAAGACCTTATATACTTAACAGAATTACAATACAAATGAAATAATTAATGATTCTAAATGAAGGCCCAGTGAAAAGAAAATAAGAGAAAAATGAATTTTAGTCATTTTTCAAACCATTGTTTAACAGGTACAAAACTTATTTTGCATGTTCGACCTGATAGGGTTGTATTGTTTGTCTTCATATATTTTAACTAAGAGGTAACTTAATTTTGGAAAAATATGTGATGTCTTTCCTCGTGGTCTTCAAATATTAAAACATAACATTTTCTGTATTGCAGTGAACTATTTAGACATGAAAACATAGATCACAACAGTGAGGTATCAGGAACAGCGTGGGAACTATCCATTAACGAGTTTCATACATTTTAAAAGAAAATACTAAGTCACATTCACTAGTTATCGGAAATGACAAATTGTTCACGATCATCAGAATGCCTTTGAAACGCTCTTAAGACATACCAGCTTTGCATAAGAACTAGGATAAACCCAAACATGAGCTAGTAATATATAAGGCATTGACGAGTTTTCTTGTGATTATATTTCGTTATTAATAAATATATAATGTCTGAAAAGACTGCACATTTGAACCTTTTTTTGTTAAGCTCGAAAACTATGCATCCACATAAATCCTCATTGAAGTATTATATCAAGTTGTCAGGTGTTTCATTTCTTATTTTAAAAAAAATAATGGAAAGAGGTGCCATACATTGAAACAAATTAAAATAAAATAAAAACAACTAAATTTGACCTGTTCAAGAACGCGAAGAACTATCACATTGGTAATATACTACCCAAGCATAATTGACATGTACATCAGAATTCACAAAGGGACATATGAATTTCCATAATGAAGGGTTCGATGCCTACCTAATCGGTTATCATTTGAATATAAGGCTACGGAGAGACCCTGGTGAATTCCTCATGCTGGTCCGACTCCTGCAGAGGGTAATCCACTTGTTTTTTGCAGATCCTGCCGATTGAGCGGTCGACGGTCGTATAAAAGAAGAAAAAAGAGAAGGAGGAGTTGTTAATGGGAAGGAAGGGCTCATTAGGTATCTTCATTATCTGACAGCAAAACCCCTTCAGATTTATAGTGCTAATTATAAATTGTAATCATATTTTCTTCTGATCTTGTCTACCGTCCGAGTAAAAATCGAAGAGGGGCAAGGAAACGTAATAGGAAGTGATGATGGATCAATGGTTACTAGCTGCGTGGCATACCAATCGTTATAACCTGAGACATTTCTTACGAAGAAACAAGTATTGTTTCTTCAAGGAATAAAGTGGAGGTTGGTAGTACTGACAGTGCTCAAGTGTAAAAAAATCTATTTTTCCCAAAACATAGATGTTTTTACTTAAATTTGTTTCCTAAATTCTAATACATATTTAACGGCTTTGTCGTTGTACAAATTTGTAAAGACAATTGTTCAGTTAAATTGGTAGAATTTGGAATTCATAAAAAAAGACACAGCCTTACTGAAAAATGCTATAAAATATCATATATCGACTACGGTTTGAGATACGAAGGTTCTAACAGCGATGCTGAACCAGTTTTTTGGTGAACTCTTCTTCCTTCAATTGCGGACATTTTCTCCTGGGACACCTTTAAAATAGAGAAATAAATTCATATCGCTATATATATATATATATATATATATATATATATATATATATATTAATATATGCTACCAGAGACGTCAATATACGTGATTTGTGATAAGTGCAATATGCGGTCTGTATTCAAAGCGTAGTCAAACCAGCGGCGGTTGACGTCACAGAGGCCAGAATGTGACGTGCGTGCGATGCGATATCCTTTTTGACCGCGGCGTTCGATAAGGTTCTTAACACTATCAGCAGGATGAAGAGAGGGCGTTGGTAAGGCAATAATTCTTCTTCACAAAACCTTTTCGGTACACATTTTATTATGCTGGAGAAATAAACAATCATAAGAGCCTAGATTGATTCCAATTCTTATGATTAGTTATAAAATGATTTATAATTAATGAATATTCTGCATGATTATTTTGAATTGGGTTGTGTAATATACTATGAAATGGCCAAGAGCACTCTCTCTCTCTTATATATATATATATATATAAGAGATGGGTCAAAATAAAATTAAAAAATAACTAGACTTTGCTCTAACATATATTGCTTTTACTATTTTTTTTCTTTAAAATTTAGGCTAACCTAGAACTTTTTTTTTATATGGACGATTTCGATGATGTAGAAAAAAGTTATATAAGAAAAATGTAGAGTTTAAGGAAAAAACAATTTTAATAAATAATTATGATATTGAGATCACGTCTAAATAGACTCAAGAGATTGTCAAAAAGAAAACTTTTGTACGCGAGTTGGATGCAGTCTCATTTTCTCATTTAAAATTATTAGCCTTTTTATGACAAAAGGGAGAAGGATTTTGTTATTTTTTCAGAGGACTGTGATTATTTGTGTGTTTATGGTGGATTTTTTATTGATTTTTAGCTATGAGAGTGTTTTCCTGCGTTTAGCAATTATTCATGGATATGATCTATTGGAGTATA